TATGTTCTTTTACACTTGTCTGATTATAAGAAAAATCGTCTATTCTATTTTCCTCATTTCCTATATCTGGTGGTAAGAGGTTTGTGCGGTTCTTATGATTGTCTCTTGATTTGGCATTTACCAACAGGTCATCCATAAAAAGTACAGAATCTCGTACGATGACATCGCACATGATTTATGCCCTGTGAGTCCCTCCATCGGCCTGACTCTTTTCACTCGACAATAGACAGATATTATGCATAAGAATTTGTTTCTGAATCTGAATGTTGTGTTCAATTTTGCAGATCCTTAGTGTCCAGCAACTTTACAGGATATGTACATTGTACTGGGATGACAGCTACAACACAAGAAGTGTATCTCAAGATGTACGCTTTTCTGCAGAAATAGCTCTCTCTCTCTCTCTCTCTCTCTCTCTCTCTCTCTCTCTCTCTCTCTCTCTCTCTCTCTCTCTCTTTCTCCCGTTCTATCTGCTCTTAACAGTTCTACTAATTAATGTTCTTGAACAGGTGATTGCAAACATGAGAGTGCTTATGACAGAGGATTCCAACGACGCGGACAGCAGCGCTTTCTTGTTAGACGAAGATTCTAGGTAACAAAATAACCTTAAATTCGAACTCTTTATATCTAGTATGCAGAAGATTTGTTTAACTGCTTAGGATCAAAACCAATTTTCCTTTTTTCGCATGCTCAGCATTCCCTTCTCGGCTGATGATCTATCAAGTTCAATGCAAGAGAAGGACTTTGCGGAAATGAAACCAGCGGAAGAACTTGAAGAAAACCCAGCTTTCAGTTTCTTGCTATAATGGTGAAGATACCAAAAGAAACTGTACAGGTGTACTGTCCCTTCAAGAACACACCAGTAAAAGCAGGAGGGCAAAGAAGAACAAAATGTCGCCGGAGATTTCCAGATTCTTTTTTATTCGTCACCCTTACGGCGAGACCTTGATTGATTGGTTGATTCTCCATTTGGCTGGGAGAAAAGCGGAGACATGGAGTCTTATGTGCAGTTCTTCTTGTGCAGTTTCTCCTTTCTTCTTTTTGGTTTCAACTTTCATTTTAATTTTTGGGTATCTGGTGAAATGCACCAATTGTTATAGCAAAAGATACTACAACAACTCATGTTTTGGTTTGTACAAAAGGAAACAACCTAAGTGGGTAAAAGATATATAGTTTTCCTATATTGGATTTATTATGTATCATTGCTTTCTTTTTTGTTTTCCAGTTCCTAAAAGAAAGAGAAAGATAAATTATTCTTTGAAACATAATATTATCAAAAGAATTATTAACTCGCCTAAACATCAGCACAACAACCACAATTGTCATTTTTTCGTAATATGAAGCTAATCCGCCACGATACAAAAACTAACATAACGATGATGAATACCATGATGCTCCGATCCATACGATAATGTTTGTGGTTTCGGAACTCATTTTGCTCTTCACAAAGTACCACACAACAATTGTCTCTCTTTTTTTTTTTTAAATGTCAAATTAGTTTGTGTTTCTTCTTCTTTTCTCGCACAATTATATTTATTTGATGATACACAAAATTAATACTCTCTCCGTTTTCGAATAGTTGTCGTTTTAACTATATGCACACAAATTAAGAAACTATCAATGTTGTTAGTTTTTCAATATAAAAATATCATTAATTATCTACCTAAACATAATTTAACCAATAGTAAATCAAGTTGCATAATAAAAATAAATATAAAAAATAAAAAAGTAATAAATTTTTCATCGAAAACTAAAAACGACAACTAATTAAAAACAAAAAAATTTCTCTAAAACGACAACTATTCGAAAACGGAGAAAGTATCAAATACCACATACATTCATTAAATCATTAGAGTTAAGAAAGCTCTTGCATGCGTCTTTTACAATTAACAAAGGCCAAAAAGAAATTCGAGCAGTAGAGGATCTCCATTAACCCCCTAAGTATTATTAAACAGTCAGATTTTATATTCACAACTAAGTTATATCTGTATCTCAAACATTCAAATTTCAATAACTATAAATATACATAGAGAAAGATCAATGACAAATATACGTTTCTTACGTGTAATGGAATTACGTGACAAGTGTTAATAAAAAATTTTCCCATATCTTTCAATTAAAATTAGTATACTTCCTCGTATAGTAATGATCCAGACCTAAGTATACGTTTCTTACGTGTATTAGAATTTCTATCTCAAACAAAATTTACGTCACAGTTGTAATGAAATACCAAAATTGATTATTCAAAATGCACGAGTCCACTTGGATCTTTTCAGGACCATATTATTTTCTAACCAGAGGGACCATAAAAGAAAACATTTGTAATATTTTTTCTTGCAAATAGTATGGTAACACCATGCATCTCCCTCGTGGTCGTGGTACATTTCAAGTTTACATATTTGTTTTTCTTCTTCTATGGATAATCAATGTTCATTACTCAAATATGGACCAATCTTCTCCCAATACAATAAATATTAGTTGACTTTAAGTTGCGACGATTATTAAAAATATTACATTAATAAGACGGGTTCAATTGATATCAAGTGTAAGGAATATATTAAGATGAATAAAATATTAGTTGACTTTAAGCTTCTGTTGTTTAGTTTATCACCTGACTGATTGACTCTATGAATATACATACATGAATCATTGAATATTATTCTTTAGACTCAAAACTACAACGATGTGGCGGTTAGGAGATTTAAAAGAAAAACGGTCTATATAACAAAATAATACAATTATGGTTCGGAAATTTGACCACCAACAACTTGTGTCATGCATTATGCTCACCGTAATCTAAATTTTCTTGAAATTATATGTTTGTTTTATTTGCAGCAATGGATCATGAGTAGTCATATACCAAAATACAAATATTAGATGGACTTTTTAATTGACCTTTTTCAAATCAGATTTGATATCATGTTTAGTTATGGACGGTCTCTATCTCTCTGATCTACCGATGAACTCCTTGCGTAAATCTTTCAAGTTTCGACAATTACATCTAGTTTATAAATACTTACACAGTTTTTTTTTTCGTCTTTTGTTTTTTAGATGCTTACATAGTTATATATAGTAAATGCAGAGTCACGTGATCAAAAGAAATACCGTTACGCGCGGGACGTATAGTATACGAAGAATATGCATGTGGCACATTATAGTTTGATACTTTGATTAAATCCATATATGATATAACAATACATTTTTATAATATAAACTAATAAAATGAGATTAGTGAAGTAACCAAATGTCCCTATAGCATCTCAAGGGTTGATCCAAGGGTAAAAGGACGTGGCTCTTCATGAATATTCATGCATTCTCCTTTTTCGACATCGACAAATTTTTGACGGTCCAAAACTTCATCTCGATTCTCTAACTAATAGAGCCAAACAAATAATTCTTTTTTTCTTTAAGAGTTTTCAGTTTCATTCGGTTCATGTCCATCCACTATTGTTAGTGTTACGTATGTTCTCGAACGATTATAGAACCAATGCATAATGTAATGAATATTCCTTTCTTAGACACTATTTCTAGAGCCGTAATAATATCTTGATATAAAATCCTTGTGAAACGATAATAGAAACTGAAATTTGAAGTCTCTTGATTTTTGTAATATATATATATTACTAAAATTTGTCGATCATCTCTTAAAGTTCTTCATGGGGAAAATTGGATGAATGGCGGCTGGTCCAACTGAAAGTGAACCATAAATAATAATTCTACCTACTTAACCACAATGATATGATATGGTATTGATTTCAATATTTTTATAAGTTGCAATAGTCATATCATGTAGATTAAAAACCCACAAATTATTCTAACCAATAACTTTTCTGATACATGTTATATATCGTCGTAACTAGTACTTCCATAAAATTAAATTATCTGATCTAAAAAATCTTTATATTTTATGATTGAACTAACTCTATCTCTATATTTTTCTGCTCGTGATAAATTAGGAGTTTTAAAAAATATCCAAATATTTACGTAAATATATGTATGACCAAATGCTAATTGTGAGAAATAATAGCCTTTTCAAATTTTAAGTGACAATTATAATTATATATATGTAACAAGTCTGTCATTTTTTTTTTATATTTTTAAAATGTTTTAGTTAGCTAAGTGTGTAGATTTGTACGGTTCAAAAAAATATAGCTAAACAATATTTCAGAAAAATGGACTAAACTAATTAGCTCATTCTAATTGTTCAGTTCGCATTTAAATAAATTTTTTGAAAGAACCTGGCTTGCGGTCTAAGTAAAAAAAAATGCATTAACTCATGTGGCATTTCTTATAACTTTAATTCTAACATGTAAATTACAAAAAGATGTAATTTTCATTTAAAAAAAAAAATGGATAATAAGAGAGCATACAGCCGAAATATTGTCTAAAATCAAACTCTAAAGTAATCTGCAGAGTGGTAATTAATTAAATAAATCATTTCTTTTAAAAATAAAAATTACTTTATAATCATTAGTTGGTTACCATAATGTGGGAGTTAAAGAACATGGTTGATACCCATTTGACCACACTTAGTTTTATTTTATATTTTATAAAATATATTAATATATACACATAATGTTAATATGTGTACAGCATGTGGAATTGTGGATATAAGTCATGTACCATGCAAGAAAACTCTTCCATGGCCTGAAGTTAATCACCATCCACCACGTCTCATTAAGTCTAACCACATGTTTTCATTATTATTATATAATATCTTATGTAAATCAAACTACCTTCTTATCTTTCTTGGTTGCACCAAAACTCATACTAGTTTTGTGACATTATCACTACAAAAAAACTGTACATTCATAGCACCTAATAATAGCACGATTTTCACATTTGCTATCTAAGATGAGTTTGTAATTTGCTTACCATATGATAGCATTTGATAAACGCTATAATAAAGTTTCAGTAAGCGGGAAGTAAAATCACTTATACCGCCAAACACTTAGCCAAATTTACTAAAACGCAAAAACTTTCTTCTTCTCTTAACACTTTGTCGCCACTCTCTTCTTCTCTTAACACTTAGAGAAACGAAACCCTTAAACCTTCAAATCTCCAAATCTATCGCCGTCGCCAATTCCGGCGGAATCTCTCGCCGTCGCCAATTCCGGCGGAATCTCTCGCCGTCGCCGCTCTCTGAAACACCGCCGGATCTAATCTCAGAAGAGCTGATCCAATTGAAGGTGATTTTATCCGACTCTCTCTCTCTCTTTCACTTTACCCAGTTGTCGAAACCCTTAAATCTTCAATTGGAGCTCAAATCTGTTTATGTGTTTCGATTTCCTGATGAAATTGGAACAATAAACGGGTTTTTTTATGACATGCAAGAGATTTGTTTATGTGTTTATGTGTTTGCTCAAACATGTTTAGCTCAAGTCTGTTTATGTGTTTATGTGTTTGCTCAGATCTGTTTATGTGTTTTGATTTGGTCATTATAAGTCTCTACGATTTCGTTTTAGCTTAGTATGTTAACATTTGCAATGAAAGAACAAAAATTTTGGTTATGTATCTGATTTTAGAACATTTGTTTAAGATCCGTTCAAACAAACATATAGGTTGTGTATATAAGTTAAGAACATGTTTTGATGATTATAGTTTGGTTGTGTATCTTGGATATTTCATTACTTTGGTTTTGTATATGAAAGTTTGAATATATATATATCGTTTTTATATGAGATCAAACAGTAATATCTTATACTCTTTCTCTACTTATGTTTTGCAGGTGTTGATCATTGCAATAAAGGAATTTTGAAGCTGTTCTTTATCTCCAATCACAGTACAGGTTAAGAGCTTCTATCTTTGTCTCTTATTTGTATTGCAGTTTCATTACTCTGAATATATAACTCGTTTTTATGACTTTTAAAACTTAAACTCTTTCTCTAATTATGTTTTGCAAGTGTTGCTGAGTGCACTAAAGGAATTTTGAAGGTTTTCTTTATCTCTAATCACAGGACAGGTTAATAGCTTCTTTCTTTGTCTCTTATGATGAGTCTTTGTACTGCAGTTTCATTACTTTGACTATATAAATCGTTTTTAATGACTTTTAAAACTTAAACTCTTACTCTAATTATGTTTTGCAAGTGTTGCTGAGTGCACTAAAGGAATTTTGAAGGTTTTCTTTATCTCTAATCACAGGACAGGTTAATAGCTTCTTTCTTTGTCTCTTATGATGAGTCTTTGTACTGCAGTTTCATTACTTTGACTATATAAATCGTTTTAAGATCAAACTGTAATATGACTTTTAAAACTTATACTCTTTCTCCAATTATGTTTTGCAAGTGTTGCTGAGTGCATTGATGGAAGTTTAAAGATTTTATTTATCTCCATTGACAGGACAGGTTAGTAGCTTCTTTCTTTTTGTCTCTTTTGTTTGTTTATTTTTGTCTGGTTGGTTTGTTGTTAATGCTGTTAGGTTGTTTCAAACATACTGTTTTGTTTTGAGTTTGTTTATATTGTTTTAATATATGTGATATGGTTGTTTCTCTCTAGCTCTAAAAGAACGTAGGTATATTTGTGTCTGAATTGTTTTAAAGTACAAAGTTATTTTTTGATGTGTCTGATTTTTTCAATAACTCTGTTCTTATATGATGTTAAGGATACTAAAGGTTTTAAATTAAGCTTATATCATATAATGCTGGACAAAGATTGGGTGCATCTTTGCAGGTATTAAATTTAATTATATAGATGTTAAGTTTTCAATAGGGGTTTGTAGATTTTTTTTATTTCTTTCTTTTTTATTTTTTTTCTCTTCATTCTTAAATGAAGAGCTGATCCAGCTTACCAAAGAGGGGCTTCAGATTTTGTAAGAGTTGTGTCTGCGGCTTTGGTAGATGGTGATATGATTGTATGTCCTTGCATCGACTGTCGTAATATAGATCGTCACATAGGAAGTGTTGTAGTTGACCATCTTGTTAGAAGAGGTATGGATGAGGATTATAAGCGGCGGTCTGATTGGTATCATCATGGAGAGTTAAATTCTGGGGTTGAAGGTGACAGTAAATTCAGTCAAATGGATGAGATATATGGGTTATATCAAGCTGCTGAGTTCATGGATGACGACTTTGTTGGAGATGATGAACCTGATGAGACCGCAGATTGTGAGAACAAGAAAGAAGATGACTTCTTTGCAAAGCTTGCAGATGCTGCATCACCCTTATATCCAAGTTGTGTGAATCACAGTAAACTCTCGGCAATTGTGTCCCTATTCAGACTTAAGACACAAAATGGGTGGTCTGACAAGAGTTTCAATGATCTTTTGGAGACACTATCGGGGATGCTACCGGAGGACAATGTGCTACATACATCACTATATGACGTGAAGAAATTTTTTAAGTCATTTGATATGGGCTACCAGAAGATTGATGCTTGTGTTAATGATTGCTGCTTATTCAGAAAGAAGTACAAGGATCTCGAGAATTGTCCTAAATGCAAAGCTTCTAGATGGAAGACGAACACGGTTAATGGTGAAGTAAAGAAAGGTGTTCCACAGAAAGTGTTACGCTACTTTCCAATAATCCCACGGCTGAAAAGAATGTTTAGATCTGAGGAGATGGCTAAGGACTTGAGGTGGCATCATAGTAACGAGAGCAACGATGGGAAACTCCGCCACCCTGTGGATTCAGTAACATGGGCTCAGATGAATGCGAAATATCCTTCCTTTGCAGCTGAAGAAAGAAATGTGCGGCTTGGTCTTTCAACGGATGGATTTAATCCATTCGACATGAAGAACAACAACTATAGTTGCTGGCCTGTTTTGCTAGTAAACTATAATTTGCCACCAGACTTATGCATGAAGAAGGAGAACATCATGCTTACATTGTTGATACCTGGACCACAACAGCCTGGTAACAGCATTGATGTATACTTAGAGCCGCTCATAGATGATCTAATTCATCTATGGAACAATGGAGAGACGACATATGATGCATTTAGTAAATCAACTTTTAATCTTAAGGCAATGCTGCTTTGGACGATTAGTGACTTCCCGGCTTATGGGAATCTTGCAGGCTGCAAAGTAAAGGGTCAGATGGCATGTCCATTATGTGGCAAAAATACAGACAGTTTGTGGTTGAAGTTCAGCCGAAAACATGTGTATATGTGCCATCGGAAGAGACTGCCAGCAACGCATAGTTTCAGATTAAAGAAGTCATGGTTTGATGGAAAAACTGAACCAGGGATAAAGGGAAGAATATTGACTGGAAAAGAAATTTCTCAAAACCTGAAAAATTTCAAAAATGACTTTGGAAATCTGAAACGATCTGGACGCAAGAGAAAAAAGACTGAGTCTAATGGTATGGAGTCTGATGACGAGGAGTTATCAAGTGAGTCGGAAGATGATGAAGAAGATGAAGTAAATGTAGATGAGGATGAGTTATCAAGATGGAAGAAAAGGTCTATATTTTTCAAGTTACCGTATTGGGAGGTATGTTTAAACTTCGATATTATTTAATTTTCAAATTTTATTCATTAAACTTTATTTAAGGTTAGAGTTAATTATTGTATTTGTTCTATGTATTTTATAGGATCTTCCTGTGAGGCATAACTTAGATGTTATGCATGTAGAAAGGAATGTGGCTGCAAGTATTCTTTCTACTGTGTTACATTGTAAGAAATCAAAGGATGGTCTAAATGCCCGTAAAGATCTGGAGCATCTTGGTATTAGAAAGGATTTGCACCCTAGGATTCAAGGGAAAAGAACATATCTACCTGCAGCTCCTTGGTCTCTATCGAAGAAAGAGAAAAAAATTTTATGTAGTCGTCTTGTTGATTTCAAAGGACCAGATGGATACTGCTCAAACATAGCAAGAGGCGTATCTGTAGATGAATGTAAAGTGACAGGTCTGAAATCACATGACTACCACGTATTAATGCAACAACTCCTTCCAGTTGCACTTAAAGGTTTGTTACCTAAAGGTCCTAGGCTAGCAATTGTACGCTTATGTGCATTCTACAACCAATTGTGTCAGCGAGTAATTGATATGGAGCAGATTGTGGTAATGGAAGCTGAGGTTGTTGAAACGATATGCATGTTTGAAAGATTTTTTCCGCCAAGTTTCTTTGATATCATGGTTCACTTGACGGTTCATCTTGGAAGGGAAGCTCGGTTAGGTGGACCAGTCCAGTTTAGATGGATGTACCCTTTTGAAAGGTATATGAAAGTTCTGAAAGACTTTGTGAGAAATCCTGCAAGACCAGAGGGGTGTATTGCTGAGTGTTATCTGGCTGAAGAATGCGTCCAGTTTTGTAGTGAATTCTTAAAGAAGTCTACAAACGTACAGGAAAAACTAGATAGAAACACTGACTATGAGAATAGTTCTATACTAGAGGGTCGTCCTATATCCGCAGCCACTTCCATAACTCTCTCAGAAATGGATAAGAAAATAGCTCATCTTGTTGTCATCCAAAATATGGCTGTCGTCGAACCTTATATCGAGTAAGTTCTATACAGTTCTTGTTCTATTATTATTTACAGTTTTATGATAAAGTATCTGATTAAGCTTCTTATTATTAATATTGTACAAGTGAGCACCTTCAGCATCTACAAGACACCAATGGAAGATGCCGACGTGATGCATCAGTTTTATGGGCTATGCATTCTGAGAATTTTGCATCTTGGTTAAAACAGCAGGCAAGTTACATCAAATCTACTATTTTCTGTTGTTATTTCATGTTTTTATGTGTATGTGTCTGATTTGTTATATTTTATTTCTCGTAGATACCAATTGATTCAGACAGACATGGAGAAGTTCTAAAATGGTTGGCTTACGGTCCACGTTATATGGCACGGTCATATACAGGTTACATAGTGAATGGTCAACGGTTTCATACAAGTTTAGTTGATAGGAAAAATCAGAATAGTGGGGTTTTCTATGAGGCAACAGCAGTCTGTAGGGCTAGTGCGAAAGATACTTCACAAGTGGTTGATTTGGTATCTTACTACGGCAGAGTGATAGACATCATACTATTAGATTATAATGTTTTTTATGTTCCTCTCTTCCGGTGTCACTGGGCAGTAATGGGTAATGGAGCTAAGATAGAAGATGGTTTCACACTAGTTAACATGAATCATAGTCAAGTCTCTTTTTTAAAAGATCCATATATATTAGCATCGCAAGCAAAGCAGGTGTTTTACTTAAGGGAAGACGCAGAATCAAGTTGGCATGTTGTTATGCAAGTTCCTTCAAGAAGATATAATAAAGATTTGGATGATGGAATTGCAGACATTGGACTATTACCAGCAAATGTGGACATGGATGTTCACATGGATGAATCTGAAAATGCCCGAACTGATTGTGAAGGCATATTTGTCTGAAATGGAGTCTGTTTGTCATTTACATTGTTGTTGTTTTATTTGCTATGTCTGATGACTACTTGGTAATTATTTTATTTTTAGTTGTGTTTGTTTGGCATTCACATTCTTGTTTTATTTGCTACGTCTGTTGACTGCTTGGTAATTGTTTGATTTGTATTTGTGTTTCCATTTGCTATATATCTGATGACTGCTTCGTAATTGTTTAATTAACCCTATTTTCTTTCATTTATTTCAGGTGAGTTGACATGGGACGAAAGAAAGTAACAAACCGTGGAGGGAGAAAAAAGAAGAAAGATTCTGAAGAGCCAGAATTCTTGGGTACAATAAACCCGCCACAACCTGATCATAACTTACAACACAACCAGCGTCTAGAAGGAGTTCAGCCTTTAGAAGAGCAGGATCAGCATCCTACAGAAGAGCAGCCTGTAGAAGCTCAGCCTTTAGAAGAGCAGGATCAGCATCCTTCAGAAGAGCAGCCTGTAGAAGCTCAGCCTTTAGAAGAGCAGGCTCAGCATCCTTCAGAAGAGCAGCCTGTAGAAGATCAGCCAGGAGTTAATGATGGGACTGACGAGCACGATCATGTAGCTAAACCTACACGTAAGAGAAAGCGAGGACCAACAAGATTGAGAGACATTGCCAGGAATCCAAATAGCAGATTAAAGGTTAACTTCACTTTCATGGGAGAACATTATGGTCATGGGTCTGTTAAGTTGTCAACGTATCTTGGTATAATTGTGCGAGAACACGTTCCTGTATCCATTGAAAGTTAGCCAAAAGTCCCTCAGGATATGAAGACAATGCTCTGGATGTCTGTCAAGGTAAACTTTTCTGTAATTTGACATCTACTTACTTAATCTTTCCAGGTTGAAATGTTTTTTTCTTAAAACATTGATTGATTGCAGTCAAGGTTTGAAGTAGAAGAAGATTACCAAAAGAAAGCATTGATTGAACAGATGGGAAATTTGTGGAGGTCACACAAGTCACGAGTGGTTAGGGAAGTTAATGAAGCTACGACTTTGAAAGATAGGATGGATCTGCGACCTAAGAATGTTACTGAAGCTGCTTGGCGTAAATTTGTCAAGCTCAAAACTAGTCCTGAGTTTAAGGTATTATTTTCTGAAGTAAGTAAGCTTTATGTTTGTTTATGAATAATATGACATATCTATAATCATGTGTTAGGTTGTGAGTGATAGCTATAAGAAAAGGAAGAGCCTACAGATTCCACACACTTGTAGTCGCAAAGGAATGGTTAGACTAGCTGAAGACTTGGTACGCCAAATGCTTTGGATTATTAATTCTCATCAGTTTAACAAGTATTTTGAATGATCTATTCTTTTATTTGTTTAGAAAGAAGAGAGACGAGAGAAATCAGATCCTTCTGATGTGACAAGAACTGATGTGTGGGTGAGATCGCGTACTAGAAAGGATGGGACACCAGTGAATACTGATGCAGCTGAAAAAATTGTAAGTTATAAGTTATGTACATCGTGAATTTGGTTTTCAGTATAGATTTAGATTTTTGGAATTGTTTTTGATATGTAACTAAATTTGCAGAAAAAGGCAGCTGAACTTGTTAATTCTGTTGAAACAAATGAAGGACAAGATACACTTGTCAAACTATTAGGACCTGATAATCCCGGTCGAATGAGGGCAATGGGGAGAAATATGACTAAGACGAAATTAGCTTGTTTCGAAGTTAATCACAAGTGTATTGTTGAAATGGAAAAGAAACAAATTCATCTCCAGGACAAGGTTAATGAGCTAGAAAATAAACTTGGTAAACTGCAGAACCAGGTAATGCACTTTTGTATTTTTTGTACATTAAGCTGTTGGGTTGTAACATAAATTAAAGTTAATATTTTTTCTGGCATGTCACAGGGACAAGAAACTGAAGTTGGTGAAAACTCTAGATCTGCTGCAGGGGTAAGTGATTAATAATCCATGAAATTGATTTCTTTATAACTATAAAGTCTTACTTGTTTTTTTCTACTCTGAATCTGCATAGAGTGTTAACAAAAAAGCACAACCAAAGTGTATTTTGATTGACTGGGCTGGTGATGATGCGAATGTTGCTGAGGGACGTATTATATCTACTGATCCAGAGGATGTTGTGAATGGGACACGTTTAGGTCCTTTAGATTATAAAGTTTTGGTTGAGACTGCCACGGTACCAGAAGCATTCCTTTGGAGAAATGCTATGGGAATGTCAACAATTGAAGAATCTGTTGGGCATATGATTGCATGGCCTGCCACGAAGTGTGTTAGTCTAGAACAGGGGGTTCAGGAAGAAGACATGGCACCACTAGTAAAGTTTCTAACTTGTTCATTAATTAATAAGTTTATACAGATTGTTGATGATTTAAAATTCTGACATTGTTTTATGCGTTTAACAGGGCACAAGAGCCAATTCTTTGAACAAATGCAAACTACTTGATCTGTCTAACGATGATGTAGTTGTTGCTGAAGGCCGTTGGACCACGCAAGATCGTAAAGCTTTGGTGAATGGACTTTCACTCGGACCAAAGGCTGTAAAAGTGTTTGTTGATGTGGTACATGAAGCCAATACATTCATATGGAGGCCTACAATGGATGTTACATACATAGAAGACTGTTTAATGTCCTTTGTAGCATGGCCTTTCAACAAAGTTGTCTTCGAAAACAACCCAGATGGAACAGGCCGGTTATCTCCTATTCAGAATTATGCATCTACTCAAACAGCTCATGGAAAATCAGCATCATCAAGTCAAAAATCCACAGCAACAGGTTCTAAATCGCAACCAGCTCATGGAAGATCAGCATCAGCAAGTAAAAAATCCGCAGCAACAGGTTCTAAGTCGCATATGCAACCAATCTCAGCATCATGTGAGAAGTCTCCAACAACAGTTCCAAAATCTAATGCAGTGGAAACTCAAACAGCTGCACCGTCCCGGCCTCTTCGAAGATCTCCGGTAACTTATTTTATATGTTCTAAAGTTGATTATGGTTATGTCTCATTTTACTGTAGTAATTGGTTAATATGGTCAACTTGTCAGCGGAAAAAAGGAGCTATACAGGAAAATCAGAAGTGTATGTTACTGGATATTAAAGAAAGGAAGCAAGTTGTTGCTGAAGGACGGGTGATTTCAACTGATCCAGAGAGACGTGTACATTGTGCTCCTTTGGGTCTTAATGCTGCGCAAGTTTTGGTAGATATAGTCCAGGTAGATGATGCAGCGGTTTGGAGGACATCATATGAGATTGAGTATATGAAAGATGCACTTGGTTCATTTATCGCATGGCCAACTGATAACTTGGTCATGTATTGACTATCGTCCAACTGAGGTAAGTATTTTTTATTTTGATGATTGTGTTTTTGGTTTTTCAGGTGCAAAACTGATATAAGACAATGTCCATTATTAATTGCAGGGGATGAAGCAACTTTGGTCCAGCTAGCTTAATTTAGATTAAGACTAGTCTTTATGTATTTTGGATTCAGAATGTTTAATGTTTGGTATGTTGGATTTGGAATTGTTTTTGGTATGTTGGATTCGGAATTGTGTTTGGTATGATGCGGAAGTGTTTTAAGTATGTTGGAATGTTTTTGAGATGTTATAAATGGTTTCATTTTAAATTTACAGGTTATATATATATATATAAAAGTATATATTACATATGATAGCATGTTATATTTTTAAAGATGGCACTATGAAAGCATGAATTAACGCAACAAATATTTGCTATTGTATAGTGATCTATTATAGCACCCAATTTGAATTATCAAAAAAAATTGAAAAAATTCATAAATTGCTATGAACAACTAAATAATGGCAATAAATTATTGCTATGAAAACGTAAATAATAACACTAACAAAGTGCTATTGTATATGAACATACTATAGCAGACAAAATTAATGCTATCGTAGGTGGGATATCTACCATAGCTGCCGAGATCATAGCAGTTGTTATTTCGCTATGTATTACCTATGATAGCATTTTTTCCGCGCTAAGAATGTAAATTTTTCTTGTAGTGTATATAAAATGGTCCATCATAAAACAAATGTCGCACGATTATTAAAACCTAACTATAAAGAGAAATAAGGAAATACATTTTTAGATAGTACTAAAGATTAATCTTTTGCATTTTCTTCATATGAGAAGTTATCATATATACATTTTTCATAGATAATAAAGGTTATGCTGATGCAACAATAATTAGATGATACATTTGATTAATCAGTTGAATCCATTATTTGAATCAAACAAAAAAAAATGAAGTAATAGCATTGGTCCAGCTTTCGGTTTTAACTTAAATTCGGTTTACAGCTAAATATAATAAAACCCAGGACCACACTGGGGTTTTGAGTCTGTTGATTTCTCTGTCTCTTCATTCGAAATTGGGCGGTACCTAGTTTCAAGTATTTCATAACTTTTTTATTCATTCAACAAAAATATAGCAGTACATTAATTAATTCTGTTAAACCCAGAGTCTAATAAAATATGAACTTTAGTTGCCACATGAAAAACCTTCGGTTGCGCCAGGTGCAATGGCCATGTCACGATATCAAGATATATTATATTATAGGGTTAAATTTTATTTAACTCTATATTGATTGTATATATTTGTTAACTTATAGTTTTCAATGATTATCGATGCAGTTTCAGACATTCGATCGATATATTTTCCCAAGTTTAAAGTGTAATAGTTGTGGGTTCATTATAAGAAACATTAATCGCTCATCTTAAGACGTGTCACTCAATTATAGTCAAATTAAACCAAAAAAAAAAAACAGATTAAAATAGAACAATGTTAGTTTTGTGTGAGTACATATGAATATATTTGTTCTTTGACAATCGTCGACGTAGGCAAGAATCTTTTTCATGTGTTTTGGTTATAAAATGAGTGTGATAATTGGTGTGACAAATAGTTTGTATAATTATTATATATGATTTTCTTAATTAGTTTATTAAAATTTTATATTTTATAGCATGTGACAACTTCGAGGCCTATTGGTATGACGCACACTATATCTTGAATCTTCTACCCAATAACTCGATATATTTCAATTAGTTTTTACTTTTTTGTTATAAAAATGTTTCAACTACTTTGAGCATATCATACCTATAAGATTACATATCAATTATGTACTAATATCATTACTGAGTTATAACCTATATTTTCTTACATAAGAAAGAGAGTAATATATATGAGTCATGAGTGATCAGAATTATGTTTTTGCAATATCGACTGAAAGTCTTTAACTCTAACTCAACTAATTATATATGTTGGTCATGATTGAGATAAATACATATATGATGAAAATCTCAATCTGACCTTCAAATTCTCCATGCAAACGAATTGGATCATCAGCTCATATGTTCTGGTTCATAAGAACACCCCTAGCTACTCATGTTCAAAAAATTTGCTTGATCGAACCAGTCGTTATAAATTAACTATTTATTTTTCTTTATAAGAATATAGTTTTCTATTACTTTGATATAGCTATTTTGGTCAGCAAAAATTATCATACAACCAGACACATGAGACTTAACTACCAAAGATATCAATTCTAATCTCTAACAGTTCACTCAAGATCAAAACTTTCAGACAAATTAAGCTGTCAAAATGTTACAAAACGATCGCCTGTTGAGATCTGCTCCTTCTACTTGACACATAAATTGAAACAATAACATTTAGAAACATGGAACCAATTGGATTTATTAAAAAACTGTTGTAACGTTATTTTTTCTTGTCTTGGCAAAACAAGATCCCTTATTTTCTAAGGTTTTGGTGCCTATAATCTTTATTAAGATTTCCTGTCTTGAAACTCTCTTTACAAAACTATACAACTATGGAAATAAAATCCATATATTTATTACAATCTAGAGAAAAATCCAGAAGAAAACGACCATATATTCGATTTTAAAATTATGAGGTTTTGTTCCATTGTTTACACCACTAATTGTTTAGAGTCATATATATGTATTTTAGGTGAAGTGCTAGTCAGATCTGAGTAATGTATGGGAAGAGTTAGTTTCACAAGATCTTGGAAAATCTATGGAGTTATAATTTGCCAATCATTTTTTGTATACAATAAATGTAATAAAATGGATTAACTAATATTATTATTTGGCTCCTATAGATTCTTCAAGATCTCTTATTCCTTTCTCTATGATTATTTTCATATTCTTTTGAAAATTTTCATGTGAAATGTTATTCTTATTTATTCTCATTTGTTCTCTTGATCAATGCTAATTATCTTGTATCGGTCAACAAATTAAGAAAGTAATACTATTATTATTTTTATCGAGAAAAATATTTTTGTGTATTTTATATATTTTCTTTTTCTATTATTCATTTAAATCATATTTTCTCTGTTTCATAATATAAGATGTTTAAGATAATTTTTTCTGTTTTACAATATTAAATATTTTTAAATTTCTATACGAATTATAGATTAGTTTAACATTTTATGATTACTTATATCATACAGTTTTTTTATGATTAGTTGAATTTTTAAAAGGGAGACTCACAAAAATGCCCTTTTTTCAATACCCCTTTTCAAAAATGCCCTCTTTGGCTGTCTATTTTTAAAAATACCTCTTTTTATGTACAAAATGACTAAATTACCCTTCTTTTAATAGAAGATATCACGAATATATAAGGAAAACATGAGAATGTGCACGCATCAAAATTACAAATTTGATTTTGTAAAAACTTGTAAAACCTTTAAAATATCTTGTAAAATTTTCCCGTAAAAATTTTTCCCGCCAAAAAAATTTTTTTGCGGGAAAATTGATTCCGCAATTTTTTTGGCGTTAAATTTTTGGCGGGAAAAATTTACAAGGTATTTTAAAAGTTTTTTACAGAGTATTTATAAGGTTTTACAATGTATTTTAAAAGGTTTTACAACGTATTTATAAGGTATTTATAAGATATTATAAGATTTTACAAGCTATTTTATAAGGTTTTACAAGTTATAAGGTTTTACAAGTTTTTTATAAGGTTTTACAAGTTATAAATACCTTATAAAACCTTATAAGTACCTTGTAAAACCTTTTAAAATACATTGTAAAACCTTACAAAACACTTGTAAATACTCTGTAAAACCTTTAAAATACCTTGTAAATTTTTCCCGCCAAAAATGTTTCCGCCAAAAAAATTGCGGAATCACTTTTTCCCGCAAAAAAAATTTTTTGGCGGGAAAATTTTTTTGCAGGAAAAATTTTACAAGGTATTTTAAAGGTTTTACAAGTGTTTTGGCGGGAAAATTGCGGGATCACTTTTTCCGCCAAAAAATATTTTATATTTTATGGACCTAATTTTGTTTCAAATAAGGGTAAAATGATCATTAAAAATTAAAAGAGGACAAACTTAAAAATAGACTCTCAAATAAGGCATTTTTGAAAAGGGGTATTGAAAAAGGGGTATTTTTAACAATTTCTCTTTTTAAAATGAATATTTTTATTTGTGTCTATTTAGTTAAAATATTTTTTATTTCAAAATGAAGGGAGTGAGATATTTTTCCATAGATTATTCCAAGGAACTTACTTAATGCGGTCTAATGAACTGATAGTTGCTAATTGCTTTAAAGCAAACGTATATATAAAATTAATTAATTTATTTAATAAGTAAAAAGAAATACTAGATGAGTAATAATAATATATAGAGTCCTTATATCATTGCAAAATCAATTGTTAAATCGGAAAAAGCTGATCTAATCTCGGGAATGGCCCCCATTTACAATCATGCTCTGAGCGTAATCCTAAATTAGTTTTTTGCATTGGTGATAAAATACCTATTTGTTTCTTTTAAGAACATACGTGTATTTATTTTATAAGCAGTACAAATATTCTCTTACTTTAATACATGTTGGTCAGAAGCAGTATGGAAAGAACGAAAATACAGATTGACACATTAGACACCACCCAATAGACTCTAAAAAATCACAATGATTATAAAAGAATAACATCATAGTTCTATGTTAATTAATTACAAAAGGCATTATATGATTATTTTTTGTTTTATTTTAATCAATAACATGTACTCCCTCTCGCTCTGTTTCTAAAAGATTGATGTTATAAAATTTTCACATATATTAAGAAGCAATCATTGTTTAATTATTTGTCAATTATTTTTTTATACAAAATATTTTTTAATAATTTTGAACCAATAGTATTAAAAAATAGTTAATCATTACGTTTAAAGTTTACGATATATTAATTTTAATCAATAAAAAATAAAACAAAAATCTAAAAAATCAAACTTTGTGGAACAAACTAAAACTTTAGAACATCAAATATCTAGGAACAGAAGGAGTTTTATGTAAATTAAATATCGTTCATGAGTAATGATATATCCATTACATTAATACAAACCATTAATCTATGCTTTATAAACCATTATACTATATTATGTGAGTATTTGTTTTGTTTATTTTAATATAAATAGTGTTTTTGCATTAATAATTTTATATATCTATGATTATTTTCGTCTGTGATTAGTATAATCTAACTCATAATTATAAAATACGTGTGATTCTAATGTAAACACATTTTATATGTACAATTACATATTGGTTGCTTCCAGTTTTTTTTTTCTAATTAAACTTTAAAACACAATTATTAAGAAATCC